TATCCCCTGTGTGCCTTGTCGACTCATTTTTTAAGAACGCGGCACACATTATGTTTTATCTTTTCCTCTCTTCCTACTTCTCACAATTATTCGCTTTACAATTAGAGGCAATCTCTCGTTGCTGAACTATCGATTATATTATTTAAGCCTTTGACGCCGCCTTGCATCCTTCATCCGCATTGTATCCTCCTGCATCGGCGCAGGATTATTCTCTGGAAATTAATGGAATCTCTGCGCTTGCGGCTGGATCTTCACGTCACATTTTGTTATTCTTCATACGTACTGCTCAATTCCGGCTTGGCTCGAAGTTGGTGATCGATCGGAATTCCCGGACTTCTCACGCGACTTCTATACACTCCGCCATTTCTATGTAACATAACTATGACATTTACGTATTGTGATCGTTATATACCAGTGATTCCTAACCAACAGTACACGCGTTCTTTATGGAACGACCTGGATTGCTAATTAATTGCTAATTAATTCTTGAAAAAAATAGAAAAACAATCGATTTAATTCTCCGTCGTCGCGTAATTCTTATCGACTAATCGATAAACTCTCTAAATTATTTCTTAAGAGGAGAGAATATATTCTGAAAGTCAAGTTAAGAACCACTGCATTAAAGAGTCTCTTTAGCATATATATAAAGTATCTTAGTAAAGTATCTTAGTAAAGTATCTTTAGTATCAGACCTACTAAAGATCTTTCATCTTCGAGACACAGTTTCACAAAACTTGACTCGATTTTTCTTTAACAAAGATCGAGGGCATCTTTATTTATTAATTTTCTGTTAGGTTAAATACATGAAAAATATGATCTTGCTGATGTTTCTAAAAATTTAGTTATAGAAATAGATTGAAAAATAATGTTTTTTGGACCGTCAAAATAATTTTGTAAAATGTACAAAACTGGAGTAGAATGTCAAAACTTTTTATTATCATAATTATCATTGCTTAAGTACTCTACATAATTATTGTAATGTCAATAATTTCAACAAAATTATTTTCAGATCTCTAGCTCAAATTTTTAGTTACTTCAGCAAAACCATTCTTTTTTCCGTGTATCTTTTCGTAATTATATATTTCTACAAAATCAAGTCTGGTAATTACAATAATTACAAGTACGTAAAATTTAAGTGTCTAAAAAGTCAAGAATAAGATTTTGTTGGCTGCTTAATATGATTTGAGAAACTTTCTACCTTTCCAGCCGCTTGTAATCTGAAAACTATATATATCGGTCCCTGCGCGCTTCTGCGATAGATTGACCGAGATTGATCAAAGCATCCGTAAATGAAGGACGTCTCGAATAGCTCCGGGAGGTAGGGAGTCTTCCCTATAATGCTTCCCGAATAATCGTTTCTCCTCTTTCTCGTCATGCGATGTCGTCACGCCGCGCCGAGTCGTCGCAGTCAAGGGCAATGCCGGTATAACGTGTGATTGAGAAATCACAAGGGAAACCTTCCCTGAACTCATTTTCGGGTCGCCGCGCCGATCGGATCTATCTTGCGCGCGCGGGCGCTCGATTGCTTGTTGATTACTTACTGCGCGAGAGTCGTATTACGTCAATGTAATACACGTCGAGGCCGAGCTGTTTGGATGCGCGAGAGATACTTTTGGTGTATCGCATGGTCGAAATTGATCAATTTTCCCCCCCGAGTTGTTATGGAACAACCGAGATCGTCCTCGTGTCACCGTTAAATGACAGTCGACTCGACGGAATTACGGTGTCCTATTTCAAATGTGAAATGCGATTATGTAAAATTATACGATTAAACGCCTCCCCCCGTTCGTAAATGACATTTGAGAATTGCCGGAGCGAAAGAAAATACTTGGGAGTTTCAAAGCGAATCAATCGACCGTCCGCGATATCCGATTTCGTCATTAGCGCCGGCGCGGCGCAGCCGTGCAGAGCAATCGCGTCGGGGAAAATTCTTCTTCATTTTAATAAATTGACAAGTAAATTGACTCGCGAAACAGGCTCGAACGAATTAGGACGTTTTCTTTAACTCGCGCGGTCATGATTTCCGTCTTTATATACGACTTACATATAAGACGTAGGCTAAAGACAATTCTAAGACGTAGTCGTTATACACGTTGCTTAATGTTTCATGGAGATCGCGTGACGAAATGAGGAACGTTGATGTCCACCGTGTTCGCTTTTATGCGACTCGTGTAACTTATCGGGATTCTTATCTCCGACTTGTTGATTTCTCGTTAACAACTATAAGATGTAAATACGTGGACGAATGCGTTAACAAAAAATTCGATAAACCTATATATATAGGTATACGTTGAGAAAGCGAAACACTTACACGCACGCACACACATATATGCACGCCGGTGTCGGCGATCAATAACATTCTCGGCGTTCTTTTGTGCTCCCATTTTTCCGAGATTGGACCTTATTATCTCGAGTAAATTTCCTCGTTCTACCTCGCGCAGTTGTCAAGGCGTATCGATCGGCTCGCGAAGACGCCGAGTGCGCGGACAATAATACAGATGTGTACCGAGAAGTCGAAGAGACGCGTAAGATCGATCTCTCTCGCTCTGGATTATATTTCGACGGCACAGATTGCAATTATCTGCCTGCCGACTCTGTCGTCATTCGTGGCCGAAGCTCCGCACGCGGCGAGCTCGTTTTCGACGTCATCCCTCGCGACGGCAACGGCTGATCGTGAATATTAAATCTGTTTCGCAGAAAGATGATACGCCAGATAATATATAGGCAGCCACTTACAATTAGAGTCACGGAAAGTCCGTTCGCATTCCGCGAAAGATTTCTGTGTGGGACCTTTCGCGCGCGCGAGATCGTGGATGAGCATATACGGCTCGATTGAGGCTTCGGCATGCAAACGACGGATTATATCGATTCAATAAAGACGACACTATTATTGCCCGATCGAATTCCGCGTATATTCATAGAATATTACTCGCCACTGCGACATTATGTCATCTCGCTGGGTATGCGAGTGTCAGGGTCGGACTTGACATCGCGGTGAGTTAGAGACGGCTTATCAGCGAACAAAAGAATATCCTCGTCAATAATTAACAGCGAAAAGTCTATTAAAGTACGCATAAAAGTTTTTGAAATTTATTTTAATAATTTATTTCTTTTCATCTAGATAATTACGTCTGATATTGCCGTGTACCTTGAAAGTATTCATCACCTTCTTCACTTTGTCAGCATTGTATCGTAATAAATTTAATGAAATAGAGTCGCGAGAAATTCTTGCACTTCAGATATTTGAATCCTAAATTAAAGTAATTTTAGACGGCGTAACACGTGCGCGCGCGCGCGCGAGAGAGAGAGAGAGAGGGAGAGAGAGAGAGAGAGAGAGAGAGAGAGAAACGCTCGCCGCAGTGTCTACGTCATTTACACGGATAACGATGCTATGTTAACGACTGTAGGCGATGACTTCATTTTCCGCCCACGCACTGCGATTCCAATTAGTATCTGACTATGCTGCCGCGACTTTACATATATGCGACCCCTAAATAAAGGGCCGATTTATGCCAATTATCTATACAGCTCTCTCCCCTTTGAGTGGCGGCTCTCTCACTTTGTACCCGCCCCTCTCCCCCGTCGTCGCGACGAAAATACATATATCACGCACCTGACCTGCACTAAAAATAGCGAGAGTAAGCGAGAAACCGCGTCTTCCTTCACCCGCGTTTCGTCCGCGTTATTTTGCAAATGTTGATAAATGAGATTTAGAGAAATACAAATGTCACGGCAGCTTCTGTGTCTCGATCGACGCGGTAAAATCCATCTATGCTAATTGCGAAATGTTTTTTTTCTCAAGAGATGTCACAGCGTGAATCCATCATTAACTGTATTAAATTAGATACGACATAAGAAGAGGAATGAGGTGCCGCATGCAACTTCCGCAGTACAAGTCGAGATACAGATAAATTCGTGTCGATAAAAAAAAACTATCTTGCAGGCAGAAGACAACATAATTAACTGTTTACACGCGAATAATTACTTGCAAGCGCGACGCGGGATAAAAATTCATTCACTCCGGAGACGTGCATTGCAAGAAAAAAAAAAGACTTATTGTTTGACTTCGTTCTCGTTTGACGTCGCCTCTGACGTCATGATCCAATATAGCCGCCCCGAGTGACGTGTCAGAAGCCTTAATATTCCGAAAAGACGGTCCTCTGTCCCTGATCGAAAGCGGGTCTCAATTTGGTCCTACATCGGCGAGTAAATGACGTGCAGTATCGACGCGAGCTCGGTGCATACGATGACGTGCGACCGTTTATTCTAACCGATCAGCAGATCGCTCTGTTCCGATAAGCCTCCGCGACACGCACGTCCGCCGATTTTTTTTCAGGTATCATTCGAGGATTTATTTGTTTGTGAAAAAGTAACACGACCCGAGTTTTCGATCCGCATCCGATTTCCATTGATATAGTAGAGAGTAAAATTTCCCTCGGAGATATTTGGAGACGAATTTCAGGTATTTGAGAAATTTCACGCGTAATCTTTTTCGAGGCCGCATGGCTCTCGCAAATGGAAGAGAATTAACGCATTTCACCTGCAATTTTTCTATTTTATCGATGTGAGAAAACAATAAAATTATAAACAATAGTCTGGAGAAGAGGCCAAATACGTGGAGATCCAGGTTCGATTCCTGGCTGAGAACATAAGGTGATATTTTTTTGCAATAATAAATTTCTTTACAGATTCATGGGGAGTAGATTCTTCTATAAATGCAAGTTAGCATTTATTTGGTGACGGGGAGGGGGGGGGGTAATTTATTAGATGCAAGTGAATATCAGTACACGGAAAGAACAATTTTGCTGAATCCAGATCTGAAAATAATTTTTGTTTAATAATCAAAATAATTTTGTGTAAAAGTCAAAATGACTGCTAAAATATCAAAACGTATTATAGCAATACTTATCAGTTTTAACATTCCAACAAATTATTTTGATAATTCAACAAAAAATTATTTTTAGATTTGTTTTTAGCAAAATTTTTAGATCTTTCAACAAAATCGTCCTTTCCGTGTATACTCATTAAATTGTTTAACAGCGTGATGATACGGTTCTATTTCAATCAAAGCTGCATTGAATCCGAAAGTGTAACGGCATGCAGTTCGTTGAAGCTAGAGTATGTAAAATCGCATAGTTATATGGAATATTAACTGACACCCGTATCTCGCTCGTCTTTGGCCTTTTATCCTGACTATTGTTTACAGTAACGAGCTAGTAATTTATTTAATAAAATTATATTTATTTATACAACATTTAAACGCGGCTTACGCTTATGTTTGCTTGTGAAAATATTATTTAGAGTAAACTTGGCGCGCGTTAATTTATTTTTTCGTCAGCAGAGAAATGTTATACTGAGAAATGTTATACTGAGAAATATTGTTGCTACTTTTTTTCCCTTGAGATTTGAAATTCTGTAATACCGGCATAATAGGTATTCATACAGAAATCTGCATAATCGCGTAAGATCTATTGAGGTTGTGAAGCGAGACCTCGCATAAATAGCCGCATCTTTGTGTCGCTGTATTATTTATTATTTTAAATAACGGAAGTATTATCGCGCGCGTCTCTCTCTCTGGTTATGCAAGTAAAATGCTTGTTGCAACGTCGAAGCGGTACGTTGATTTGCGTCAGAGATTTTTCCTTGCAATGTACTTCTTCTATTTTTTTTTCTTTCAACGTACATCTGCTTTAACGTCGTTGAATACGCGTGTTTGTATTTCTAGCTCTCTGATAGATGCGCGTACCTATTAACTTGCAACAATGTTTATTCTGCATTAAGAAATGAATATTACATTCTTTCTTCCGCAGAACGTATATGCAAAATTATTTGTCACCTTCGCGCGCGCATTTGCCTTCACGGAAAGAACAATTTTGCTGGGTCCAGATCTGAAAATAATTTTTGTTCAATAATCAAAATAATTTTGTGAGAAAGTCAAAATAATTGCTAAAATATCAAAATGTTTTAGAGAATGCTTATTATTTTTAACATCCCAACAAAATTCTTTGATGATTTAACAAGAATTAATTTTCAGATCTGTATTCAGTAAAATTTTTAGATCTTTCAACAAAATCGTTCTTTCCGTGCTTACAATTATTACAAAAAAAATACGTTTATTATTCAGGGATTTTTTTTTTGAGGGATCGATGTAGCACATCTTCTATTATTTGACAAATATATAAAATAAAAATTGAAATGCGTTGAAAATTAGAAAACTTCGATTAAAAAAATTCCTTTGTAGAATTCGTAAAAAATGCACTGGCAAAGGATGACGGGAACTTTCTTAATCGAGCACCTTGTACAGCCTGGGTTCTCGAAGTAATTACGTTTTACATAACTGTTTCTCGTTCTCTTCGAAGGAGAAGGAGAAAACCTTCATGGTTTCGAAGAATCCAAGCCGCGAGACGTCGGAAAACCTACCTTTGAGGAAATTCGCTAGAGACGAGGATCGTGGAAGCGATTATCTTATCGTTCGTTGCCTTCTGGAATTGTCGAGTCATTATCTTACGACGACGGACTTATTTTAGCTCTTTCGTTAATATTGTTCAATTCCGCGTTCTTTTCCTCCTTCTCTCTCTCATTTTGCTCCCCCCGCGGTGTTTCCCAGGTTCGACAATGTAAACAGTTTTATCATGTACAATCGGGCGCTACGGGTGGGTGTATGAATCATGAATGAATATAAAGCACCTTCGCGATTGTGTGCGTATACCGCGCTCGTATTACCGCTCCGACGTGTGTTGTATTACGACTGACATTATCTTCCAAGGTTGGACGCGCAGTTTACGGAAATGCATTCCACGTCCCTCGCGGGATTAAATCTGTGCGACGTGGTGATGCATATACGTGTGCTTTGAAATTTAAAGACAAACACCGAAAAAGCCAATCCCGAAAATGTTTACGCCATACGATAATTCGGACGAGATTCTATCTTGTTTTACAATAAATTTAATTAAAAATATAACTGTTTAATTGATAATGAATTGATAATTAATTGGTAATTATTATTTATATGTTATATACATACATACATATGTATACATTTATATAAATAGGTATATATCCGTATAATCACATTTTGTCCCTCGTAATAAAATAGATTTGGTTTCCTGATTCTACATGATGATTTGCACATAGTCGTAATGTATTAGTTATTTTTGCAGTCTATTATCGAGTGTCGTTATGGTCTATCATTTCATAGTCTGTTATTTTGTAATCTATCATTGAGATATCATTTCCTGCGGTGTGATGTTAAATATGAATACGTTAAGCCCGTGGAAACAGTCTACCATAATACAAAGACTTGATCTTGTTTGCTTTGTATTAAGATTTACCTACCTCTATTCGTGACATACTAATCATTTCCGTAGTTTCCGTAGTTTATTATTAACGGCGGGGGGAGAATTGCAAAAAACTCGAAACAAAACTATTTTATTATACTATACTCGATTAAAATTACTTTATACTATATGATTAATTCGGCCTCTTGTTCTCATGAATATATTTATATAACATTTTCAATATTTGAATTTTAAATATTTCTAGTCAAATTGCTCCGTTTTGGAGATATAGCGAATACAGTCTACATATATTTCTAATATAGTCTAATATAGTCTACATATATTTATTATACATATATATTTTATTTTAATCAAATTATTAAAATCCTTAATTCATCCTTAAAAAATATTTTTGATCTTGACTGACCTTCGGAGAAACAAGCTTTTATTCGCTATACAAAAATTCACGAAGAATGGAATTATTGAAGTCAATCGTGTGGCTTCCGGGAAGCACCTTTTGTTTTCCGCGCAAAAAAAAGAACGCGGACGTAGAATTTTCCCACACAGGCTCTGCGTGTCTCTCGGCGATATTCTCATCAGGCCGAGCTCACGACGCTCTGGCCGTTTATCTGATTCGTCCGGGTTTCCGACGGCGTCGTGTAGATTTTCGACGATAAGAGTGGTTTGTAATACGTGCGATTAGGTGAAGCTGCGCAAAGTGCTGCCCGACGACGGCGGCAGCGACGGCGACGGCGGTGGCGGCGGCAGCGGTGACGGCGGTTCCTCGCGGCGGCGGTTGTTCCTCGCCGCGGCGGCAGATTGCCTCGCCACTTCCGGCTATGCGTCGCGCAGGGGATATCGAAGGAGGCTTACACGTGCAAAAGGTACCGTCTCGTGCTGTAAACTAATCTTCGTGCTGTCATAACAACTAATCCAGCCAAAGCCGCGTCTGAACTAACCCACGCCCACTAACTTAATCTGTCTGATCTTCTTCCGTTGCCGCCTTCGCGAATCGTTTTGCGACGTAGAATCCTCTCTGCGAGCTCCGCGAAACGATTCCTCGGAAGCTTGTGCCCGAATTGAATCGATAGCGTGTTTCAGGAAGCGACGCTTTAAGCGCGCGATTCGCTAACAGCGAGCTGCCCTCAACTCTAAGCATGCGTATCGACGAATGTGCTCGGCGTATGTAAACACCGAGTGTTTAATTATTTGGAAATGGTTCGTGTACAAATAAGCGTGATATTAACGCGCGCGATACTTTCGCGCTGAAATCAATTCGCGATCTCGGCGCGTTTTTCATCGGCATTATATATAATCTTTGTGGGACACATTAAAATAGCGAAAACGAGATAAGGCGAGAGAGGTTTCGAGATAAAGCGAAAGCCCCGCGATGACGGCGGTTTATCGATTTCACCCGCGAGATGCGATATACATATATACATATATATACCTACAGTTATTTACTTCGCGAAATTTCAGTCGCGTCATCTGCGCATTCTCAGAGACGTTTACCGCACCGTTCTTTCCTAATCGCAGCCGCTGTATCTGCTTCGGAGTCGTTGCATCGCGCGCGAGGCTCTAGTGCGAGCAATTAACTTGATCCTCGCGAATTGGCCGCGCTTACACGAGGGATCGACCTCGCGTGGTTCACTTTGCATCGCTATCGCCACGTAAATATATATATCGCCTTTGCAAAACACGTCACTAACATCGCATGCGAAGGTATAATGGGTTAAGATAAGAACAAATTAAAAACGCACGTTGCAGCTCGGCGGGGGGAGGGAAGGCGGCTAACTGCGTCGTTAATCCGCCTGTAAAATTTGTCGTCTCACACACACGTATTTCGCAAATGTGACAAGCAGGTTTTATTTGAATTTCTCCAACGCAGCTCGTGATTAATAGGATGTACTGGATGTAGTAATAGGATGAATACGGGAAGACTTTGCACTGGAAAAAGGATCACCTGCATCGAGATACTCGCGCGTATACCGGATGACGTAAAATTACGTGCTCGAGGTGTGAATCGCGTATAATAATCGCATGTATAATATATTATCGCATATAAAGTCTGTATCAAACTACGCAGCTACCACGGCAGTATGAAATTGCAAATTGGAGCTTAGAATTCGACCGATCAAAATCAAGAACGAATTAAAATTAAATTCTGATTGATCAAATTCTAATCTTCAATTCGCAATTTAATATCAGCTTAACATGGAAACGAATGCGATCTGATTCCATATCGCGATACCGTTCGAAATGTTTTTATTTCAAGGCAACAGATGCCAAAGGACACATCAATGTTTATATCTTTGGATACACAGTGTCTAATGATTATCCCTTTTTCGTTTGAATATCTTCGACGACTTTGAAAACGATGATCTTTTTCGAGACATTAATAGTAACATAAACCACAAAATTTCAGACGTTTTTAAGGACCAGGACTCCTAAAACGTATATACGCTAACAGACAACGGTATTTTAGTCTTCAATTAACTTCGACTAAAGTTCAGCAGGTAAATCCTCACGGATCCAAATTTATCGAAGCGTTAAATATTGAAAATGAGAAAACTGCGAAGAGAGGCGGCGTTTGATCAAATTTTCATCAAATTAAAAAAAAAATCGTCTCTGAGGTAATCGACGTTCTCGTGGACGAGAGTAGTTTCGACGTGTATCCATTTTCTCGTCAGCTGTGTACACACGCACGTGTACACGGCGCCGTCGTAAGCGCGATTTAAACCGCCGGTATTTCGTGCAGCTCTTCCACCGACGATCTCCTTTCCGCCGCGGCAGTTTCGCGCGGCGTACGCCACGGTTGTCATCGCGAGGCACACGTACGCGATCGCGCTACGATTATCGATCGCGAGGCACACACGATCTCTACGAGAATCTCGTAGATATGGGACACGCATCGACGGACAAATCCGCCGAGACGGCTGATAAACCTCTCGACGACGTCGCCGGCGGCGGTCCGGAGCCGCCGCCGGCTCGCGAGGAAGGTGACGCTTTACAATTGGATCAGTCGTCCGTCGTCGCGATCGCGCACGAACTCGCGTTTTCCTTCGGCACGAGGAAATTTTTCAGGTCGCCGGAGAGGCATCTAGGTGAGTGCTCGCGAAGAGTCAATCGCGCAACCCCGCGAAAGGGAGGAGCATATCGTGCTCGCCGATATCGATTTTTTTCGTGCACGAGCTTATTTTAACATAAAGTGAGAATTTTTTAAATACATTATTCGCTCTTGTGATAATTTTAACACAGCCTTAAATTTGTTTTGTTATACATTTGCAATACGGCGCTTGGCATACATAAGGTATAATTCGCGAAAACAGGATTAATAGGCACCGGAAACCCTTCTCCCTCGGAGCAGCGGGAAGATAAATTGTTGGTTTCTTGTGATAAATTGACAGTACAATTGGGACTTTCCCCAAACGAGTGTATGCTTTAATCCTTTTAGTAAATGCCGCGTAAAGAGATGCTGAAATGCGTCTCTTTATCTCATTGTTCAGCGTAATGTATACAATACTGAATACCGCATGAAAAGGTCTCTATTTCTGAATCGCGCGCGACGCTGTGTTCTCCCGCACGATCGATCTCGCGTGTGCTCGTGCCGTAAAGTGCGAAACGTAATTAAAATGCCACGATGTAATTAACGAATTAAACTATCGTTATGACATGGACAGGAGCTGTACAATACAACGAAAAACTGGCGACGGTGTTAAGTCAAGTATGGCGCTTTTTAGTGCCCGACATCATTTAAGAAATCGTTTAAAACGATACGCGATGTAACATTTCGCTCGGGTGACTTTTTTCTCTTTTGTCAAAATTATAATTTATAACAATTAAATCGAAGGTATGTGATAACTAGAGCTTCGCGCGTAGAGAGGATCTTTGTATCCTCATATATAGCTTTTAATTCGCGTAAAATTCATTTGATACGACCGCGATAATGAAATCGTGACGATCAAGCCTTGGAAGTGTAATTAATCATGAAATTGTATATATTTAATTAACTGCATGTCTATACATTTCAACGTGTACTCGTAGCATTTATAACATTACCACGTATTAGAGAATGTGCTGTCAAATTGCCTGTGCCATATCTGTCGCTATAAATCTCAATCGACTTTATCATCGTTATATCTCAAAGCTTTTGATGCCTCTCTGAACCGCCGCCTGCTAGATTCTGTGAAATCTAATTAATAATTCTGGGTCACCGAAGTTTAATTAGCAATCCACAGCGTCGGTACATGAGACTTGATAGCTGCTTCTATCCTTTCATTTCTCTGTTTTCGTTATTTCGAACGTTATTTACAATTTCTTATCTAGTTGTAAGACATCGGTTAAATGATATCACGAATATCTTCATATTTTCCACGAAAGGTACATGTATATACATATATTATAATGAAGAGAAGAAAAGCGTAAAAAATTAAGAGCTCATATTCTAATCGCGTTTTTCTGAGTTACCTAAAACAATGGAATATTAATTTTGTACCAAAATAATCGGTAAAAGGTGACTATAATGACTAGAAGACTAATTAGGATCGAACGACACGCTTTATCGAAGATCTCGGAATAGCGGTAGATCTTTCTGCAAAATCAAAGGAGATATCCCGAGGCGGCGTTCGAAAACTCCAATTGCGGAGCGTCGTGCACGTAAACACACAGGATTTGGCGTATCTTTTGCAGTGCTGAGGATGCTGACGCCGAGGCGAGCGGGGCCGGTGGGCCCCGAGGAAATCGGGGACGGACCCGGTGACAAGGGCGCGAGCGGCGGGGCGAGCGGCTCAGTCACCCCGGGCGGCTCCTACGAGAACGGCGACAACTCGAAGGAGTTCATGTCGACCGGAAGGACCGGCAGGAGGAACGCGCTACCGGACATCCTCGGCCGACACGCCGAGACCGGCCTGTCCGACCTATCGGATCGTTTCGAGGAAATGTCCACCCACACAGGTGTCAATCCGTCTTATTCCGTTGCCGCTCGAAATATGGGGAAACTGTAAATAATAAATCGAGTAAAGAAAGTTTTTTTTTTTGTTTATCCTGTCTCGTTCTCGGGACCGTTTTAGTGTGCACGTGTTTGCGCTCGACTGATTTATTCACCGGAATGTTACAAAGCAAAGCTTCTCGCGTATCGTATTCTTTTATTCTGGAGGAAGAAACATTAAGGGTTGTCTAACATGAGAGTAGTAAGTCGTAAGCCGTAAAAAATTCAATCACACCAATCATAGTCGAATATGAGAAGAATACTCGACTATGATTGGTCAATTTTTTACAGCTTACGACTTACTACTCGCACTGTAGATGGACCCTTATTGTTTCCCTTCTGGTGTTATATTTTCGATGGCCGCGTGCAATCTTTTGTCCTTTCGAAGGGGAAGCTGGATCACTTATTAAGACCTCGTATATTGCAGATCATTCTACCAACAGCGGACAGGATCCGAGCATACCGAGCACGTCGAAGCAGCACGGCTGACATGCCCGTGAGGCTTCGTAGCGGATCTGGCTATCGCGACACTGGGCCTTCCCATTACCGACGACGACGACGACGACGACGACGACGATGACGACGACGAAAGCGCGATTTCGCGACGGAAGAGCACGTTTTTGTGAACGAAGTTCCTCTCGAACGCTCTCTTTGGCTCACGTTATTGGATAGAATGTATCGATGAACGACTTGACGCGCGTAAACGAATCGTCGTCTACGCATCGACGCCTGCTACGGCATGTTAGAAAATATTTGACGGGAGGCTGACAGAGAGCTCGGGCTCGAAGGGAATCGAAGGGAAAATGGAAGGTTTCACTCGCAGGAAATCGTATAAAATCGTAAATTGTAAGGTTTGCTCTTGACTTTGCAGGTAAACTTTGCAAATTATGGATTTTATCTCGTTTGTACAATGAATTTTTCGAATAGCACTCAAAGGGGAACCAATGATTTTATGCCGTTAAGGTAAGATCTGATCCGCGACTCGAATAAAGAGGTACCAACGGAATTGCAGACAATTTCGTCAGACAGAAAGTCCAAGTAGCTTGCGCGGAATGTTAGACTCATGCACGTTTATCTCGAAATTAAAAGTGAGTTGTACTTTGACTCACGGCCAGTGAACGAAAGCAGATAAATAAATGCTGAATTATCTATAATTTCACACTTTTATTTCCTCTTCTTTTTGAAATGCGAGTCAAAGATGAAATGTGAAGAATGTCTTTTCAGCATTTTCTACGTTAAATAATTGACAATTTTATCATATTATTCACATATTACTGTCTACTCTGTTAGAATTAAAGCAGAATTCCGTATTAAAACTGGCAAAGTAAATATTGAAGCAGCTAAATTTGCTAAATGTGATATGATATTTGGCTCGACTCTGGCTTAGTTAATAACTATGCTATTTAAAAAATACGGCGGTTATGTATGCATGTGTGTGTATATGTTTGTGCATGCGATACGTATTTTTAATAAAATTTCTACAAAAGCCCTTTTCATTTTATATTATGCGACTATTAATTAAAATATTATAAAAAGAGGAGCCAATGGGGAAAAAATACGTGCCACCAAGAAGAACTCGTTAAACCAATGTAGAATTTTCCACTTTGTGCTGTTGTTAAATTTTACAAGTTTTGCCCTACATGTGGATAGCGGGGAGAACTAATTGTAACGCTTTTAATATTCAAGAGCGACAATGATATTAATGCACAGTGTATTCGTGATAAATACGAGTATTAATTAAATCGTATGTCGTAGAATTACTGCATCCCTCCTAAAAATTGCGTACTTTGTGACGTCGCTGCTGCAACATACATAATATATAACAGAGAGAGTGTCCTGGTATCTCTCTCTCTCTCGTTGAATCCTTAACTCCAGCCCCCGCAGTTTCAAATTCATCGATCAATGCAACCAGCATTTAGGTTGCGGCAAGAAACAACGGCCTTGTACGAGATTTTTTTTTTCGCCAACGAAATGTCAACACGCCGCCGAGGAATCTGTCTAATTGTAAGTCTAAGTCAGATTTAATGCGGCCGAAACTCTACACGCGCTCCCGACGAGAGACGTTTTCGCTCGGCTTTTTTTTCTGCCGAAAAAATACATTTCGCCTAGCTCAGGCTCGTAGTCCATATTTAATTTATTAATAAATTTCGCTGTTGATTTCTACGGCTGTCGCGGTGAGAAAATGTTTAGAGAGCGAGCCTTATCAACACGGTTTCGAGGAAAACGCGCTAACCGGATATACGTCGGGCGAAAATTAACTCGAAAGTTTTACGGTCGTAATTTCTCCTTTAAACATTTACCGTGGAAAAACGTAAATCGCGTTCGCGACATTTGAATTACGCGATGCAGTATCACGGCGTAATTTTATTAAACGCCGCGCGTTTACCCAGCTCGCTCTCTCTCTCTCCCCGTCACCAGTTGCGATTAACTCTTCTCATTAACGTTGTAACGTTAACGTTGTAGCAACGGTAAATGCGCGAACACACCGGGAGAGTGTACATCATTTTTAGCGGCCGAAACGCGCGTTAGATGTTCGTACAGATGGAATCACAGGCGGTTACAATAGCGTGTAATAGCGAATGTGTACATATACATATATATATACATATAGATTACCCGAGGGGACGACTACTGTTCACTTGGATCGCGAGCTTGTCCTGGATTTTCACGAACATGCGTATATGAAGCATAGTTAGTTAAGTTAATCAATAAGGTATGTTTAATGTACGATTAAGTCTGTATATATAGGCACGTAATCGCGCGCACGTCCGTATTCTTAATACGTATTACGCTGAATACGAGGTCGTTCGCGACGTTCGTCTCAGGCGCGTTTGCGTTTCTTTTTTTTTTTGCTGGGCAAACGAAAGTTAATATTAGGATTTAGGGACTTGGCGTGAAGTGTGCGGCGAGAATATGGATCACGTTCCCCGCGTGACATAGACAAACATTTTTTTCTTCTTTGGACTCGCGTGTCCCTCTTCGAGGGGCATTCATCTTTGGCGAATTTTAAGGCTTCTGCCTAGTCAGTTACGAACCTCGCGTTGACGATGACGACATTACATCGCGGTAGAAATTAGAAGCTTGTTTGTCGTACGTGCTAGGCCCGTTCTCTACAGTCTATAATACGTCACATTTCGGTGTTACAAGTCGTAAACCGTAATAATTCTACAAAATATGTTGTATGTGACTTACCGTGAAAAGTTTTGACGACGAATTTTGTCTTGCGTTATTGCCATTTCGTTATTATTTGCTTGATTGTGAAAATGTGACTTGTCCCGTACTTGTACCAAAGTCGTAAAAATGAATGGAAACTAAAATTATTATTGATTTTTATACATAAAAGCATATTTTCCATTCCTTTCAACAGTTGTCAAATCGCGAGTTTTCTTGCCTGAATACACTCCAAATCCAAGTGTGTAAATCTGTAGTAACTTTCGCATTTATATTTTTACACATTTTATCTGTGTTTTACACAGCTAAATGCATATTTTTACACGGTTAATTTTACAATAATATGTGTGAGCGTGTAAAAAATATGCATTTAACTGTGCAAAACACAGATAAAATGTGTAAAAATATAACACGCGTATAAATGCGTAAAATGTGACTACAGATCTACACTTGGATTTGGAAGCCTATAATAGGCTTCACTTTACGTGTCTTTTACGACTATTTACTGACTGCGTCAGAGGGGAAAAGGATAGTTTTCATCCATTTTAACAAGTTTTTTTTAAAGCGATTCCATTTTTTTATTTCATCCAAATTCTCTTTATTTAAAAATGGGACGCAAGAAACTTTTGTGTCATTTCTTCGTTTATGACGTGACGATTTCAATGTAGCCGCGGTGGCTGGGCAGGAGCCTTAAGGGAGACGGAAGGAGACGTTCGTATATATAGCTTAGCAATCTGTATTACGACGCAAAATGCTCTGGGCGATAAAAATTGAGACGAGTTTGTTTGTATCTGCACCGATAATATTCGAGAGAGGGGGGGGGGGAGCTTAAGTTCGCTCCCTCTATTTCATTGTCAGCCGTATTATCCGGGGTATACCAGACCTCTCGCTAAGACTTCTTCGCCGAAATATTCCGCGGAGAACATGTGTGATAAGCAACGATAAATGATCTCTAATCAAATTCGTGTTGCGCTATCTAATCGTTCGATGCTTGTAATTTAAGAATCGATCGCGCGCTTTCGAGCGACGGCGGGAGGGCGGGAGGGGGATCCCGAGAGCATCGATAATGTGTTTTTCACCGGCGTACCTGCTTTTCGTAGTCAATAACGATAATCGCGCTCCGACCGGAGATAATAACGGTCGACGGTTGTAAACGGGTGTTTGTACGATAAAGGAGGAAAAAAAAAGCGGAATTGAAACAGACCCGATCCACTCGAACGATAGCCGCGGCGACGTCCGCGATTAGTATATATTTCGACGCAAATGATTTCCGAGCACGTCGCCGATCCGGGGCCGCGATAGGACGGCGTGATCGCGCCCACGCAATCCACGCGCCCCGGATAACGCGTATACTGTACGATACCGCTGCAATTATTGTTAAAAAATAATAAGGGGATCGATCCGCGGCGCGGCGGAGCGGCGGTCGAGTTTATCCCCCCCATGGCCTTTGTGCGTGAGCGCCAGATATTTTCTGCGAGGAAACTCGCGGCGTGCGGAAAAGATCCGACACACACGATTGTAAAACGGATGTACGTTACTTCTCTACCCGTGGGAACACAATACAAATTCTGATTCGTAAACGTGTGCAGACTCCTTACGTCGCAGCCCGTACCATCCCCTCCCAGTCCCTGTATAACGCGCGGAAGGTATTTTCTCGTCTCGCGGGATTGCGTACACTCGAGCGTTGGTTGAAATGAGCTCCTGTAGTACCTCGGTGAGGACGAAATTAAAGGTGCCTTTTAGTCGTTATTTGAAATCTAAAATATCATAAAAACAAATGAGAAGATAAGGCTCTCAAGTATCCACTGAGATAAAGCTATTATTAGATTTGGCAACAGATCGCTTAGTCAATTATTTTTTCATGCTTATTTATTGTCATTTACTTATACCGTATATATATATATATATATATATATATATATATAATACTTCTCATAAAAATTCTTTTCTATATAAAAAAAATTTCCTTTTAAAGTGCGACAAAATATAATCTATTTATTTGATGGCAGATTGCTCATGGTTATCTGTCATCTCATTTATTACTGCACTATTACGTTTTACCGGTATAAAAATACTTCCCATAAAATTTATTTTACACAAGAGAATTTCTTTTTGTAAAAAGTCCGATGTGGGATATAAAATCGAAGAAGAGACGGCACCATGTCGTAAACGTGGTATGAATACAATTCCAAACGTATCAATCTAAATTGAAATTGTATTACGATGTAAAGAACGGTACTTCTGTAGTTGTGGATAAAAAATTTCTGAAGACAGATGCTCTCCGAGGAGACAGAAATTAGATAATTTTTTTTTTCCCTCCCAAGGTGCGTATCCGATGAACGGCGCAACGACGCGCGGACGACGTTTTAAGTGCGGCGGTGACGACGGTCGACGTTATCGCGAGATGCTCCCCCCCTCCCTCCTCCCTCTCGAAAGCGACGGCTGTTAAACGGCGCGGCGAGGTGGTCTTCGCGGTAAGCGCGAATCTATCGGCTCTCTCGCGTGAACAATATACGCAAGGAAGATAATAAAGGGAGGATATATATATTAAAGTAGGCCGCGGTCTGCGGGACGAACCGCAGCATGCGCTTGCATGCGGAAAGTATGCGCGCATACTGTGCCACGCATCGGGGAAACGGTGGGCAGGTGTGGCGGGACAATGGGAAAATTCCGTTTGCACAGCTTGTCAGGAAGACGAGACGCCGTCCACGTGGCGCGTCGTCCGGGAAAATGCCCGTGAGAGGATTGGACAAAGACGGGCACCGTCGTCACCGTTGCATAAGCGTCTGTAAGCGCGCGCGAGAAGGCGCAAGAGAAAGAGAGAGGGGGGAGGGAGAGAAAGAGAGGGAGAGAGAGAGAGTACCGGAGTGACCTATTTCAGTGATGAGAGCTCGGCGTCCTCTGTAAAATGTAACAGCGAATTACCGTCGATACGCGGCTGCTGTTTCCGCACTTTTAAATGTCACCGCATAAAATACATGCTCCAAAAAAAAAGAAGAAAAATAAAATGGAATCTGCTCGCATGTCGAGGAATCTGTTTCGCATAAATAAAGTGCTCATTATCATATCGAGCTTAAATCTCCAGCTTACTTTAATTTTTATGTGAGTCGTCATATTGATGTATTTCTTTCGTTCTTTTTTGTTGATACAGTTAGTCGAATTAACATCGTAGTTTTAATTATTAATTCTCAGCAATCGTGATTCAAATAAAAAAAGAGAAAGGAAAAACAAAAAAAAGGAAAGAATCAATTGTACCGAAGAATTTTGCTCCGAATTATTAAAATTTTATCATTTCGAGCTTGAATTTCCATCTATTTTTTTATTTATATTCACGCGAATCGTCATATTAATGTCTCTTTCCTTTTTTATTAATCCATTTAGGCAAAATCGTAGTTTTAATTCTCAGCAACCGTGATGCAAATAAAAAAAAAGAAGAAAGGAAAAAGCAGAAAAAAAGAATCTCAATCGTGCCATTCGTGCCAAAGAATTTGCTTCGCATAATTAAAGTTCTATCATATTGAGCTTGAATTTCCAGCTATTATTTATTTTTAGAGATCGTTATATTGATATGTCTCTTTTTTTGTTGTTTCATTTACTCGTAAATGAATTAATAAAATTGTTGTAATTATTAATTTTCAGCAAAAAATGTGTAACATTTTTTATTAATTATATTCTCGAATCGTAAAACAATCACATCTAATGGTGCGAAACGTAACAATTTTGTCGGCAGAGAGATTTTGCTAGATATGCAGTTGTTTAGATATGCAGAGATTTCAAGACCACGGCCGACATTTGCGCGTTGACATCGAGCGCTTATCAGTTTCGCGAGCCCCGACAGGTGCATCCTTGAGATAGGCGAGAGTGAAAGGTATGATGGATGCACACTCTCATTTGATGCATATAACCGGTCGTCAGAGGCGTTGAGTAAACAGCGCAAAAAAACTCGCGTTTTCCACGTGCACGTCTAATCCTGAGGGTTGACGTTTTCCACGAAGCGGCTATCATCGTCCGTCGTAGTTTTTACTCAACACTCGAGGCTGACGAGGCTTAATACGATTACTCGACTTTACTTGCGCCTCGCGTATAGGTATTCGCAGATTCAACACCCTGATTCATCTGTAACTTTTTTTCTATTTTATTCCAGTGTAAATTGGAATATACAAATACAACAAGAATTTTCATCTGCCGAACTTATTATCGTTAAAAATCTCCAAATTTTTCCTCGGAAAAATCTTACGTCGAAGAACATTCGTATACGACGAAATCGAAAGTGTACACGTGAATTAAATACTCCACTTGTGTTCAATTTTGAGAGGGAGGATTTTGCTACACGTATAACGCGAATCGTATATAAGCGGTAGGTTGAGTACCCCCTTTGTCATACGCGCGACAAGGCGGACGCGTGTCAGGTGTGTCAAATCGCGCCGCATACACAGGTGAGCGAGAACCGCGTTACAACCGTGCGGCACTGTTGGAGGCTGTTATTTCTCCGGCCTATGCAAGCAAAGATTACACGCGGGATAGAGACAATAAGCGCATAAGTTATAGGGGTACCCACCACCACGGCTGTCAGTGCACGTCCGAACGCGGCAGGCGACATTGTTTTGCGTCTCGCGCCTCACATTGTCTTACCCTCTCTCTCTCTCTTTCTCTCTCTTTCTTTATTGCGTACTAAAGCCTTTCAGCTATGTATATCTTGCTTCGTAAAAAAAACATGTAAAATACAATTAGAGATCGACAAAATTCTATTCTGTAAATTAACGTCGCGCTCGCAAATAATCTGTCATTCTTGTGCAAAATACCAAAAGAATTTATAATCATGCACTTCTTTTTCTAATTATTTCTAAACTTTTCTGAACACTAATTCTCGATTTTATGCGGTGTCTTTAATTCCGAATCATTATAATGAGAGGACTAATTATTTTTAACTTTTTTCTCTAGACTGAGAATTTGATTTTATAAAACGGATTTAACTGTCAATTCTTTTCAATTCTACCCTTTGCATTTTGTAAAAAATATACGAGAAAACTTCTGTCTTTCAATCGCTTTTTACGATACGTGATTCCATCTTCGATTTATTTCTTTGGTTTTTGCCAATATTTTTCAATCATTTTTCATTTATCATAGTTGTTAAATGTATTTTCAATTAGATTACATGTAGTAGCTTATTTGTGTAGAATTTCATGTAGAAATGTGTGCCGACTTGACTTTAGGACGCAAAAAAGCTCTGACAGAACCGTGCGATGTCCACCATTAGGAAAATTTTAACACGGTAACGGAGATGAATGAGAATACAAAAGGTGTCCATAGCATGCTTTATTCTCAGTGGACCGCTGGAAAAGAGTCTCGACATCCTATCATGATTAATGTTCGGTAAGTAGCACAAATTATATACATATCGCGAATTTCGCGATATGTTTCTGCTGCTACAAGAAGTAGTCTTTACGTTAATGTCGAAAAAAAAGTAGTGTCAGTTTAAGTTAGTTATTTTATATCGGTAGAATATCATAAGCAAGAGAAACTACGATTTATCGCTCAACGTTCGGGCACGACACGAGCGCGACATTTGATCCGGATACTTTTATTTAACGTTTAGTTGAAGATGAGATACTCGACCGATTTAATTTAATCTCTTTAAATGGGGCAAACTAACGAAACTCCCAGGCACGGTCGAGAGAAAACCTGGCTAACGAGCACTCTGCATAATAAAAATCGATTTATCAATTACGATTCGCAAATAAACGCCCTTTCTCCAACAAAGACAACTGTGTGTAAACATTTCAATTTAATGATCCTAGCACCCTCGGATAATAGTCGTGCAATTCACGAAACCCACACATTTGAAATTAATCGCGACTGATCTTTTTTCTTTCTACATGAGCAACACACAGTTACTTTAAAATTGAAGAAATATCAGATTACTGATATTTCTTAAATTTTACTTACTGGACGTCACAGATGTGCGTTTCGCGCGCGCTATTTGGCCTTTTACTTTTCGCTTTTTAAAAATAAATTGCAGTGATAATCTTTCATAAAGTATTATTAATTCCGCGATGAAATAAGCGCGGCTAGAAAACCAATAGGCATCGCGGAAAGGCGACATGAATAAACTTCTATATACCTATATGCGAATAATCGACTTTACAGGAACATTGTGTTGTATAGATTTTATTATTGTCGTTCTTTGTCATATTATTATAACATTCATATTTTGTTGTGTATTAGATACTATTATGTGTGTTAGATATGTTACTCTATATAATCATAAACGGAAAAATAATAAATGCCGCGCGATGGAAATTGTCCCGAGTTATTACACGAGTCTTGCGTGCCAAGGTTTTCTCGCATTGGCTTGTTGATTGTCTTTTATACCTGAGAGCTTAGAATGATCGACATTGTACGACGACTAATTATTTAAACGATCGTATCGCAACTACATGTGAACTTGCACTACATCCTTCTATGAAAAGTTTATTCGGTACACGTTGCAATTTTTTATTCCGCATAACATGCAAAACAACGTAATAATATTAAATATTTTTCTACTTAATATAGTTAAATATTTTTCAAAAATAGAAGAATTTGTCTCTGTTACATAAATATATTTTAATAAATATATTTTATAATATTCATGAATAACGTGAGAATTTGAAAAAGTTCGGCAGCGAGTTTGTATCTGAAATTTTGAAATTAACAAGTAAATTAAACAGTTCAATTTGTATAGCTAACTTTTCTCCTAAAAACAATTGCAAGAACTAGAAACAACAATATTTGAATTCTCTTGCTATCTTTGAAACCGTCAAAGAGAAAGGTAAATAAGAATTATTTATTTTTTTGCGTTCGATAAATATACGAGTAGCATGATAATGATTTGATGGAGGACTCGATTCTCTGAAATTCGTGAGAATTACGGCGAATTATATTTAATTATTTTCCAATGTCGTACGCGACGATGACGTCAGTGATTCGCCTCTCGGTGGCGCGTATTACTCCCTCTCCGTTCAACGGGGCGCGAGTTTCTCGCGCTTCGTTGTCGAGGACGAGGCCTCCAGCAGCCCCGAGTTTCCACTGGCTGTCCGAAGTGGACATTTATTGAACCTGCGATGTTTATAAAACTCCCTTCGCGGCCCTGCCACCTCGCCGTATGATAAAGTTCAGAAATAACGAGTTCTATCTTCTGTCCGTCATGCGATCGTGTTCTGTGCGCACCGTAAGCCGTGGCGTGCCTCATACAAGGTGCGTTTCCGAGTGATAAAGTTCCGTCGGAGAAGGAGGGAAAAAAATCGTGCTCGATTAACGGTGCAAAATGGGTGTTAAGCGAAGGCAGCAAACTACAAGGGAGAGGGAGCAATAAACCCATGTTCTAAGCGTGTATGCGTAAACGGAGGAAATTAATTAATTAAATGCTAATTGGCTCATATTTTTTACTTGTCGAGGAATGCCTTAATATCGAAGAGATCCCGAATACAAATTGTCTCGATTTCTTTGCATCCAAAAAGTCGAATAACAAATCTTTAACGTCTGTATATTTTATGAGTATATACGTTGAAAATGTGGCGGTCGATAAAGCACTTTCTGATTCAATAGCAAAAGGAGAAATGCGTATTTCATTCTTATCCCGTCAAACGCATCCCGTTTTTAAAGATGCAGCCGACTGTATCGAATTGAGAATTATTCGATTAGATGATTTGGCAAGCAGCGCGCGACGGGAATCGTGGCGGACGTGTTAGATTCCATCAGAGTAAGAGGAATTGTTTTCAGATCGCCCAAGAGTAGCTTGCGTAACAGCAGGTTCGACCCCATGAAGACCGACGTGGTGGTGCCCGAAAGTAAGTCCGGCCTCGACCCCAAAAAATATCAAAAATATAAAAATTTGCAAATTAATTCGATCACATCGTCTGTCACGGCTTTTCAGTGCTCGCACCCGTCGTGCCTCCGTCGGACACCTTCAATCCTTCCACCGATAGCCTGCACGCGGCCATGAGACCGATCATCGTGCTGGCCCAATGTTTCTCCATGCTTCCGGTGTGTGGTATCTATAAGCCGGACGCCTCGTACCTTCGGTAGGCGGAAATGAACGATTTTACGGTTCGAGTCGTTTATCACGAGTTCAATTCGCGCTCCTTCGATTTTTTGTTTTGTTTAACATCTCTCTCCTTTCCGATCGGAGTTCTCACGTGCGCGTCACGAATCTCTCTGTCCCGCAGATTTACATGGCGCAGCCCGAAAATCTTGTACGCGGCGATCGCTTTCCTGGGGGTGCTCGCCATGACGATCGCCAACCTCGTGCGTCTGTTGACCTCGGGGATAAATTCCACGAAAATGAGTAAGTCGGTATATCCTTGCTAACGGATTGGATTTGAGGAGCCCGCTGGTCCACCGCGGTTTCTAAGCGCGATACTTATGTCAAATACCAGCGACTTTCGTTTTCTACGCCACGGCACTGGTGACCGCCGTCCTGTTCGTTCGGCTGGCGATGCAGTGGCCTTGCCTGGCGTTAACCTGGGAGAAACTGGAACGTGAATTCACCTCGAGACATCGGCGGATTTCGAAGACCACTCTCGCAACTCGTTTCAAAATTGTAACCGCCGTTGTCATGTTGCTCGCATTAGGTGAGTGCTGATCGTGACAAATGAAATAAAGATTACGTGGGCGCGCGCTCTTTCTCTCTCTCTCTCTCTCTCTCTCTCTCTCTCTCTCTCTCACTTTCTGTTACGCATTTTATTTTCAACGGAAGTCTTATTTGAGCTAACTTCTTTGTTGAAGGTAATCACACTAACGTGGCCTAGTTTATCTTATTAATAAATTACGTTTAATTAACCTAGTTATACTTTAACTATTTCTGTTTTTTGTATGTCAGTGTTGTATGTTAATACATAGATGCAGTGTATATGTCGAAATTGCGCATAAAGAATGTGAATTTATATTAAATATTTTTACAGTGGAACACAGTGCCGCTGTGCTTTCTGCGTATCTCAGTGCGGTAGAATGCGCAGAATTTCGCGGTGACCCGGACATTGCCGGTACTTATTTCAAATTGCAATTTCCTCAGGTAGTACTTCAGATATGCTTGATTTATAATTTTACCGTATTTTAGAATCAAATCTATATAAACGTTAAAAACGCGTTGTCTCTCCTTTTCTCTATAAATAAAAAAAAACAATTTTTGAGAGCTAGATGATGCTTGTGCTTACGTTATCGCTGAATTAACGTATAATATCATGATTAATCGGCAATTTTATACAGATCTTCGCAAAAATGCCGTACATTCTCTGGAAGGGGATCGTGGTTGAAACTATAAATATCCTCAGCACATTCTCGTGGAACTTCGTCGATCTGTTTCTTATTCTTGTCAGCATAGCTTTGGCGGACCAGTTCAGACAGCTGAACAGTCGTCTTTTTTCGATACGGGGAAAGGTACAGTGCAATCTGTTATAAGATATTTGATACCTTCTCCCGTAAGAACTTTTTTATCCTTCCATGCACGTATTTGTGCCCTCTACTCAAATTGTTGTCTATTTTTAATTGTCAATCCAATTCTTGCAATAATGATGAGTCGAGAAAAAAAAATTGTTGATTACGACGTGAAAATCTTGGCTTCTACTAACAACTCGCCGCTGTCATCTCGTTGTTAAGGCGATGCCGGAGTGGTGGTGGGCCGAAGCCAGGAGTGACTATAATCACTTGGCGACTCTTACGCGCAGAGTGGACTCTCACATCTCGTGCATCGTGCTTCTGTCCTTCGCTACCGACTTGTACTTCATCTGTATTCAATTGCTGTTTTCCTTCAAGTATATTACATCTAACACTTTAATATTTTGTAACAATTTTTCTCTAAATTGTACATTGAGTAGAGACTAGTATAAAAATTTTTCGTTTGCTCATAAATATATTTAATATGTGTAGATTAATATTCACGGTATTGTAAATTCTGTGCGAATTAGCACAAAACTTTGTTCTAACGTAAGATAGTTTTATGATGTATTATGTCGAAAGTTACATCGTGGAGAGTATCTATAGGAAAAAGTAGAATGCCGTAAAATTGTTCACGAATTTTTTAAGCAGTCCAATACGCGGCATCGTGCGGAAAATCTACTTTTGCTACTCCTTCGGCTTTCTGTTGGCGAGAACGATGGCGGTGTCCCTGTACGCGGCTTCCGTTCACGACGAGTCCCGTCTGCCGGCACCGATTTTGTACAGCGTCTCCGGTTCCAGTTACAGCAACGAGGTTTGTATTCCGAGAGAAATATTATTATGCGATTCGGATCGATTAATTTCCGTGACACACGACAATTCGAGAGAGAGAAAGCTCTAAGTAAAAATCTAATAACTTTCAACATGTATCTTCTTCATGCGTTATTAATAAATTAGAAACTTTTTATTAAAGAAAAGTTTCCTCTCTTGTGATCAAGAAACTTGCAAAGGTTTATAACTTGCGGAAGATTATATACGGCGTCGGTTATGAGAAAAAAAATAACACTATTTATACATAAGATTATTATATTAATTTTCTCGATCGCTCTCTTTCATTTACACGTAAGTTCGCACATAAATTTGCACACAACGTTGCGCAGGTCTCAAGATTCTTGACGCAAGTAACCACGGATAATGTAAGCCTGACAGGAATGAAATTCTTCTCCGTGACGAGAGGCCTCGTGTTAACCGTAAGTACGACAGTTCAAGCAAGCTATAAATATAGCTTAATTATTCAACTGAAAAGCCAACTTATCGCGTTGCGAAGTACTGTTAATTATTTGCTTCCTTCCTCAATTATTTTTGCATGCCACAGGTACGTGTCTATTATATCTTTTAAAAAAATTTTGAAAATATATGTATTCGCTACAATAGTTTTCATATTTAATTTAACTAAACAATGAAAGAGCTATCGTTTGACATTAAAACGAGATTTATATTAGTTTTTATTAATTTATATTAATTTTAAATAATATAAATCCTCTCTCCGATTACGAATGATGATTTAGGTTGCTGGGACTATCGTGACTTATGAACTGGTTTTGGTACAGTTTAACTCCTTCCAGCAGGTGGACCAGTCGAATATAACGAACGCTTGCGAGGTGAAGTAGAGAGCTTTCGAAAAGATTTTTAAGGATTTTAAACATCTATACCTGCTTCTGCATCTGTAAAAATCACACGAGTTTTGAAATAGAGTTTATCGTGTAAATACAAATATTCTGCGCTCTTATACACCATTTTACACACTTTTTTACTCATTTATTCTGGCTCTCTTACACTACTTTTAACAGTCACGAAATTTGACGAAATTAGTCCACCGTTTCTCTGTTTGCCTGTTTCACGAACAACAAGGTTTGACTTTTGTTAAATCATATGCTTTGCGTACAAAAAATGTTTACAGTTTGGTAGTTGTTGCGATATAACTGCAGACTGTTTATTTTGAAATGTACCGATCTGTTTCATTTTTACACGCCCGTACACCTATATCTATATATATCACTACATCATCTATATCACTATATTGACATTACAAATCGCACAATTCTATTATAATAAATGCTATCATTAAATAAATTTTAAACTGCATTTCATACATTGTTGCATTTTATTATGACAATTTTCTGATTCTTCCCCTCCTTTGCAATCAATTTCCTCCTTGCTTTTTATATAATAATTTAGATCTTCCTCTTTAATATGAATATAATTTATAGTTTTTATATTTCGTTATATTTTATATAGTACAATAAAATTTTCGCTAGATTCCAGTCTTCTGTTTTCGCATTACCTATGGTAATTTTTCTGTAATTTTACTTCAGATAAGTAGGTATGCGAATTATGTTATAATAAATAAAGTTTTCTTAAATGTAATACTATTTTTATTTTCTTTATAATATCTCTTTCTCTCCCTCCCTCTCTCTCTCTCTCTCTCTCTCTCTCTCTCTCTCTCTCTCTCTCTCTTGATATATCCCAGAGTGCTGAATAAATGATGCTTTTTTCTCTCTCTCTCTCTTTCTCTAATATATTCCTTTCTCATTTTTTAAATATTATTTTATTTCTTACTTTATTTTTTGTTTTAGTCCTGATTTGATTAATCCGATATATACTCTGAACTCTCTGAAGGAAAGCGAAAAGGACGTTTCATCAGCATTGATGATCTAATATTGTTACAAGACAATATATAATATATACTGCACTTGTACATTTAAACGCGGACAACACACCGCCATCCACAGGAATGGATTAAAGGGCACATAATCTATTTTATTTGTTATGATTTATATTGCAATACTTCTGTAAACATTACCTGTAAACGATAAAAGCTGTTATGTAAATATAAAAAAATTATATTATTTAAATATAAGAATATTGTACAAAGCAAATATTATTATTATTTTTTAATTACATTTACGTAGAAATAGTAGTCAGAGATTGAAAGATTTTATTAAAACCCGCAAAACATATATCTTTAACTTATCTAAATGTATAAATATAAAGATAACGAATAATATATTTATACAATTATGAAAGTTTACGAAATTACCAAAAATATTTCGATGTACTGCGAATATATATTGGGAAATATATTGAAATAACGAAGCAACATTTTGTCAGAAATAAATATATTATTGTCCTTACAAAATACATTTCTGAAAAAATAATAAACAGTGGAAATAGCGGCATTTAGTAAAAATTGCAGTGAGATGTGCGTAATATGTAGGATGATTTTTTTTTTAATTTCAATATTCTATATTATCTTATAATCTAGTAACATTCGGCGATGTTACACTGTTGCGTACTCATTTTTTAATCGCGACATTAAATTGCAGCAGCACGACTTCGTACGTTACAATTGCACCAGCCACCTGTACATGAATTCGAAAAATAAGTGATCATCATTAATATTATAAAGATATTGAAACTCATAAAACGGAACGGTATGAAAAATACTAATTAAATATTTCTCTATATTCTTCTTTAATTTAATTTCTATATTTGTATACGTTATCGTGACATTATGAAGCGATATACAATCATCCGTGAAATTCATTTTTTTATTAAAACTATCATATTGTAACGCTGAAAAATTCTCCATTGAACTTTGATTCGTTCTTACCGCCAACATAAAACTCCGCGTAATGGAAAAGAAACGCATTCCCGTAAGCGCGATGTCATCAGTGGTGAGTAGGTATATCAGCCTTTCGGTCTGCAAAATGATATTGTGTGGATTATCATATATATATATATATATATATATATATAAATTTATATATATATATATAATTAAGCAAATTAACTAAATAATTCACGCAACGTTAAACTTCAAAGAGTCGTGGCATTTACAGCTGTTCTTCTGCATCAATGAGAAATTCGAACGGTTTACCTCTACATTATAGGTGGATGCTGAACAAGTATACAACAGCGGCAATATCAGTTTGCTTTGATCGTAAATCCTGGAAGCCAACAGGGTGACAAGCACTGTCCTGCCGATCAGGAATATAAAAGATTCAAAGAAATATATATCACTAATTACGCCATCTTCCGGTTTTCTGCAAAGATCCATTAAAGAATTAAAATTGGAATTGCATCAGATTAACATATGTCATATTAATTTTAATTTATTTATTGTTGGATAAAAAAAGGCAAGTGTATCATCATTATAATGTATCGCGGTTACAATATTCTAAACAATAGGAAAAGGGTATAAATTTATTTTCAAAAAAAAAATTTTTCATTCTCGCGAAGTTTTCTTTTATTCGAATGAAGAAGCGGGCTTAATATATTGTTGAAACATAAAAATGCGTTTATTGCAGGCGTCGACGACTGTGACTTTCTTCTCGATTAATTAATTAATAAATAATTGACTTTTTATATAATTGTTTCTCTTTTTTTTTTTCGTTAACCACGTGCTACTTACGACAATCCATTAAGTAGCTGTAAACAGATGAAATAGAGATTGTTTGCAAACGACAGGAGAATTATGGGTGCGATATCATTGTCCACCTTTTTCACTACGCAACTAAGAGCAGCGTAATCCTCGCGCAATTCACTCCAATCTATTGTTGTCCGATGTTTCGATGCGGAACTTGTCACGTACTCGTTCAATGTTTTGTATCTCTCGGCCAAGCCGGTAGCTACCTGAAAACTCCGACCGGAAAGTTGAATTAGTTAATAAGTTGAAAACATTTTATTCTAAACAGAGAAAGAGCTGTCATTCAATCGTTTGTAAAGTCTTATTACCATCATGACGAAAACGTCAGTGAAATTCCACGTGAAAGTCGCCAGTTTGCTGACGATAAATATGAAAATACCAAGCGCGAAGTTATAGTTTACTGAAAATAAAAAAATAGTTCTAAAGTTCCTATGAATTTAACTAAAGTTCTTCAATAAAATGTAGGAGAGAAGAAACGGCGATCAAATAAACAACTCTTTGGAGAAAAGAGTGTAAGTTTAATTACTTTACAGGGATAGCCAAACTCTGGATTGCCATTAAAAGAAAGTAATTGAAGAAACTGGAAAATGCGGATCCGCATGTGTTTGTGTGTGTATAAAAACGTTATGATTACTCAATAAAACAATTTGATACTTTTTACATGAGAGATCAGTTTATTTAATTTATTACTCAATTAATCAATTTAATTATCAAATTAATTAGATTATTGTAAAATTTTATTTAGAGACATTATTCTTAACTTGTCTACGATGCTACGATTAGATTATTGTAAAATTTTATTTAGAGACATTATTCTTAACTTGTCTAGCGATGCTTTTAAATCAGCGGCTAAAAAATCGCTACTTACGTATGTGCAAGATAAACGCGTGAGAAGACGCGCAATACATTTGTAGAAAATGTGAAAACGTCGAATTCCCCGTTTTGCCGCTCCAGTCGTACTTTCTGATGTGAACCGCTATGCTCAAGATATGTTCAAAAACGGCCAGAAGCAGAATGAAAGCGGCTATCGCCCAGAGTTTCCAACGCAGTTTCGGTCGTTTCATCTTATTACTGCAAAAACCGAGAGATTCTAATAAACTATTAAAACAAAATGTTTACAAGGCGATGCAAAAATTAATCTGTGAAAAACTTTAAAGAAAAATATTACTCATTGGAATTTCCAAGAAAAAAAAATCAATCGAGTCTGAGAGACAATGATGAGTCTTCGGCGAAGAGTCTTTAAACATTTACACCGCTCGAGGCAGATTACAAGCGATAATATCTTTTGATAATAGATGCTACAGGCACGCGATCACCGTATTTGCGTATTTAGCGAAAGTTGGATTCGTCCATATTACACCAAATTACACAGATAATCGTATGTAATACGTATTTTATATTATGTATGTTTTGAAAGAGAGAGGAGAGAAAAGATAAAAGGTAAGATAGTGGCGCGTAATAATGATTGATAACGGTATATCGTAAGTATTTCCCGATTCGCAATCAAGTGCGTCACGGCAGTGTCGAACGGATTTGAATATGACGCTTGTTATTGCTCTTGTAACATCTGCTGTCATCGCGTGAAAGTCGCATGTGCGATCGCAATCTCTCGAGAGTTGTCGAGTTCATGCAATTCTATGTAGAATGGTGTTTCTGAAGCGCGTGCAGGCCACGATCATCGATCGGCTGGCGATAATCTCTACTGCTTCCTTAAACAACTTGCTGATATTTATACCTGTCTATAAACTGCTCCATGGAATTCCAATCACGTTGAAGGGTCACCCAGCGCGGTGACAGCCAGAAAAATATTAACAGGCCTATCAAGCAGTTCCCGTAAAATATCGCGCCTGCCGTAGCACTCGCTATTCCTCCTAAAATCCAAATCCACATATTTAAGAATACGCTTCGGAGACTGATGGTTTTGAAAAGAAAATGCGGAGATAACGTGCGATTAATATACTAATAGAAATAAGCGATCTCTTCGCATTTGCATTTATTTTCATAACGGTTATTCAAATTTAAAACATAAATACTGTCTGAAGTAAAGTGAAAGATCACTTCTGTAATTCTCTTTTAATTATATATCTCTTCCTCTAATTTTATCTCTGAAAAGAGAGTCTATTGAGAATTTCGATTAAATTTACGAGTTGATCTTCCCGCGTTATCTTCACTTCATCGATGTGTAATAAAGCAACATATATATTATTCTTCGGATAAATGCGACTGCACAAAGCGCGTAAAATACTTATTTGTTTACCTTTCACTTCAAAAGCCGAAGAGTTCAGGGTTTGTATCATGTGAATAACCGACAATATCGCCATAAATAATACCATCCCGATTATGAAAACGGCGTAGGCAGTACGAAGCGAAACTTTTTTGAATTTCAACTGCAACGCACTCGGCCTGCGTATTCCTAAGACCGGTAGAACCCCGAAGAATTGAGCCAACGCTAAAACCGGTCCTATCGCACAGTGGAAGCTTTCTGGATCCTGCACAGAAATTTTTACACGATATTACTTTACTTTCATTGCGTGTAATACGAATCTTGAATATATCGACCAACATAAAAAGAAAATGTTCTCTTTTTTAAGTATCCTTTAAAAAGAGAGGGACAGGTTTATTATTCCCTGGGACGACTTTCTTTGCAGAGGCAGTTATAAATATATAGATACTGAAAATCGAGAGCAAATATTACAAGAAAGTAAAAATATGAGATAGAAATAAGGGATATATATACATAAAATGTTAAAAATATTATATATAATAATATTATATATATAGAATAAAATAATAAATATATATATATAAATATATATCTCTAAAAAATCTGAAATATATATATATATATATATATATTTATATATATATATATAGGTATATTTCAGATTTTTGAGAGATTTGTTTTAAGAAATCGCTGTTCTAACTTTCTTTTAGGTTCTCTATATTTTTCTTCCTTCAAAGCGTCGAAGAAAAAAACTTCTGCGATATGAGACAAGCTGTCAAGTCTTCGTAAGATACTTACATTGTTGTTCGCGGACAGAATTTGCTCGTTGAGGGAGCCGTTCTGGAGAAACGGACGAGCCCTCGGCGGGGCCGGTGGACGAGAGATCGAAGGTGGAGTTTCCGTCCTCTTTACCTTGTCCTTTTTCTGACGCGTCAGAAACGGTAGGATCTTTTGGCGAGTCACGCCGCTTCTCTTAGAGCCCGCACTAAATATCCGCTTCGTTTTCAACATCATGCCGGGACAAATTTCGTAGGCTTCCGAGCTGACGTTTTTTAATGAGCCGCCCATTTCATCGGAGAGATCCTGATACGATTAAGCCGATTATTTTCGTGATAATCAAAACAAAAATTAACGTACCGAAAATTAAAAGTCCTCCGAGAGACCTGTGTCTCTCTCTCTCTCTCTCTCTCTCTCTCTCTCTCTCTCTCTCTCTCTTGAAAGAGACACATGAATTCATTATCGAGTTTTCACGAATCCATTAGCGCTGGACTGTTAAATGTTAATTCGCAACATCGCTCGAGATTGATTAAACCGAGCGCCTAAAGGGCTTTCATCATACACGCACAAGTCGCATTAGGAAACAGAGTGAGGTGGATGTAATCGTGATACGTAATTTCCTACGCATACGCGCATATTGAGAAATACATTTTAGTTTGAATATTATATGCAATGTAATTACTTTGTCTCGCTGCAGTACACTTTTCATCGAATGTTATACAAAATGGAAATTAATGAAATGAGACAATAATTAAGAGTGAATTAGGTGCGGTTCGCGCAAAATATGTGTCAGCGTGCACACATCTCTTGGAAAAGGGAGATAGTTTGAAAGACTTAATTAAGTCTGTAATGAAACTCGTCGATCATTCTGCATTCTGAGGTCAGATATCGATATATTGTAAAGTATAAACATTTTTCTAACGCGCGCGTTAGAAAAAGTGCATTGATATGTTCTCTTGAGGCGAACACGATAGCTCGAGCAATTAATTATCGTCCTGTCGTATCATCGGATACGAATGAGCCATCCCGCCTCCTGAAAGGGGCTGGTCGTTTGTCCAGCGTCAGTTGTAAACCCGATATGTTGACGCAGACAGCCGATTCGCACGTCAAGTGCAGCATCGTTTCACGTTCATTTATTCGAATGACTCTTGTCAAACCCTTATTAAGTGGCTATCGCATGCAATTTCCGAGTGAGATCCTATGTCGCTCATAAATTTCCGCTGTATAAGACCCAAGACGCGAGAAATCGTAAAACAGCACGTGCCTTTATATGTTGTAAATTGAAGGGCAGAAAGCATGATAGTACTATCCATAAATATCCGTGGCAGATCTACGGAAATTTATAAAAATATTAAAATAAAATATAAAAAGAATAAAAATAAAAAATTATGTAAAATCTGTAAAGTTTTAAAGTTAATTTCTGTTAGAAAATTTATATTTTTATTATTTATTATTTATGTTTTAATTTATATTTTTATTATTTTATTATTTATTTCAGCATTATTCATTGAAAATTAGATATGATTTTAACTGAGGACTTAATTGAAGCTTCAATTGAGAATAAAATAAAATATAAAAATTAAATACAAAAATAAAATATGAAACATATTCATAAGTTAAACTTGTAATACACATTTAAGATTAAAAAGATATTAAGATATGACATTAAGCAAATTCATTAAATTTGATATTATATGTGCTTATGTATCATATAGATTATAGAGCAAATATGCTTTTGAGAGTGAGAAAGAGAGAGAGTTATCATTTCTTGAGAAATGCTTATTTAAGGGATATAATATTTACCAAAGCAGACAGTGTAGCTCTTCTTTTTCTAAAAGCTCGAAGAAAAAGATATAATGTAAAAGTGTACCAAATATAATATTATAATATGTTATGCTTTCGTCTTTGTGTTAGCCAGCGTATATAGAGATGTATGTACAGAGATACAGTGTTAATTGTTTTGCGAAATGCGTCGCGGATATCGGATGTTGTTCAAATAGGATTTACATAAGTCATGTATTTTTCATTGAAATTACATGTCAAATGGCCTCAATTCAAGTTGATTCTTATCAACCGTTTATTATTAATCTCAGTTCGATATACATAATAAATGATTGCCGTTTTCACAACGTAATTTCTCTTATATCGAACTGCTTGACGTCTGATTAATAGCTACATATCTATTAACATGCAAATTTTGAAACATCAAGATATTTTAATCATGGTCAATATAAATTATTTGTAATTATAATTAATAATTTGATTTTCAAAATTATTTCTGATGTTTGTCACATATACATATACGTATACTAAACTGTATACATTGGCTGTATTTTATTAAATTGATATCGACTGTGCTCATCAAAATTTCCGATTTCCTATTAACATTTGTTTACACTTCAAAAGGAAAATAAATTTATAATTTACGTAAAAAATAAAAAATTATAATACGTATATTCGTGAATTAAAATTATAATACACATATTTAAGATCAAGAAGAGATAATATTATGAAAACAGTTATCGAATTCGATATTATCAAAATTTATGCATAGCAATATTGATATGAAAATGTAAAAAAAAATAAAATAATGACGATATATATACATAAAGATAAAAAAATTATAATACGCATATTCGTGAATTAAAATTATAATACACATATTTAAGATCAAGAAGAGATAATATTATGAAAACAGTTGTCGAATTCGATATTATCAAAATTTATGCATAGCAACATCAATACGAAAATGTAAAAAAAAACAAAATAATGATGATATATATACATATAAATATATATAAAGTATACTAAACTGTTTCAAATTACTTCAAATAAATTCTTCCATTCTTTAAATCAGTATTAACAGATGCTTGAGTTATCCTTTTTATAGTTCTCTTTTCGATTATTTAAAATATTTTGTAAAATTTTATGGGACATATGACGAGACACGAAGAAAACGGAGAGACAGTTTTGTGACATCTCTTTAATTATTTTTTAATTATGCGAGGCTCTCTGTAAATGATACTTTTGCGCGTTAGGAATCGGGTGTTGTATAAGGTACCTACATGAAGTCTTCCTCTTCGTGATTCTCATCGCCATGGATGTCATCCAAAGAAAGACACAGGCGGTGGATAAGAAACACGTGAGTTTCGGCGATGATTTTCACGAGAATGATAAGTAATAAATATTATTGTGTCACATCAGTTTATATATTCCACACATATAATTTTTGTAAAACGAACAAATATATTATGTAAGTGTATGAAATTAAGTTAAATAAACTAAAATGAAACAAATAATGAAATTACAGCACCTGAAAAATTGTCAAAGTTTTTAGAAAGGAAAAGACCGTAGTCGTATAAAATTATATGTAAAAACTCAGTTTAATTATTAACAAATTTAGATATTTTTTTCTTGTTTT